GTAAGTAATGAAGTGCTGCAAGACCTTTGGCTGGGAAGTATTTAATGACAGACAAGGCAATATTATTAATTTGCTACAATATTCTGGACTGCTCCTGAAATACTGATACTAAACCCAAAGACCCATGACTGTCTACTTACATGAGCCTTATTGGATTAACAAAGTAAAGGAAATTATGGTTTTTAAGGAATCACTTTTTTGTCACCTCCCATGCTGTTCTGCTGTGGCAGTGGCAGTTTCTACATTTACAGCAGCATCTTGGTTTGGATAATCTCTCAATCAGATTTCACCTTGATAGCAGATTTTTAATGTGCTGAGTTGCTTTCCTCAAATCGAGGTTCTGGAGCTGGAAGAGGCAGCTGCATTGCACCCAGCCAATAGTAAACACTTCTAAAAAACATGGTACTACAGTCATTCATCTATAAACCACCTCCCCTAAGTTTCTCCTGCAGACTATGCTGGTCCCACCTTTTAACAGGACTAGCTAACCCAGATGTCCCTGTTCTTTGCTGGGACCCCACATCCACCCACTTCCCTTTCCTGAAACAGCATGCCAAGGAACATGATGGATCACACAAGTCCATGCCCAGACATCTGTTTGCTTTCTATTTGGAAAAACAGCTTTTCACATTATATAGCTCAGTGTGCATGTCATCAGACACCCACAATGTGTCTGGAATGTGGTGATACAGGAGCCTCTTGCTGGCAGCATCCAACATTTTTATCAGCACTTCAGTACTGAGAGGTCTGAGTGCTGAAAGGGGTGGGTTGAACTCAGGATATGAAGTGGTCACTCACTAGAAATGTGAAGGGAATTAAGGTTTGTGACTGTGATGGGATGCAAACTTTTAATAGTATTTGGTCCCTGTTGTCACTGTGAAAGAGCCATAAGGTGCAGAGGAAGAGTCAAAAATAAAATAAAGAGGAGAAGAATGAGCCTTTCCACTGCAAAGCTGGAGCACTGAAAAAGGAAAGGAACGCCTGTTGATATCTGCAGTCTTTGAGGTCTCATTAATCACTCCCTCATTTGCCTTTTGCAATGCCAGCCCTTGAGATCTCAATGATTTTTCCCTATTTTTTTTTTCTCCGTACCCTCAGAACCTACTTACCACTGAGCATTTGAGTGTTGTGTTTACCATGGAGAAATTTCCAATGATTTCTGAATTAGTTTCTTGGTGTACAGTATGTTATTTCTCCTGTTTTTCCTTTGAATTGCCTTACTTCTCAATGTTGTTATGTGCAAGAAAATGACTTTTTTTTTCTTTTTGTGAGAACATTCTGCCACAAATTAAGCTCTATGAAGGAAAATGTAGGGAATGTAGGAAAATTCGTTACTATCCCAAATCTAATAAGAAAGTGTGAAGAGAACTAATGCTTCTCTGTGGCAGTTTTTCATAGGGTGAGGTAAAACTGTCATCTAGTGGTCATAATCTGTTCCTGAATTACTGTTTTCATTTGGATATAGCCAGAATATTTCTTATACCCAGGATGAAATATACTGAAGTGCACCTGAAAGTACTGAGCTAGGAAAAAAAAGTTAAGTGAAAAGCCTTAGAATCTTTCATAAACAAATTTATAACTTGGTGAAGCAAAGCTGTGAAGTCCCTTTTTCCTCTTTCTCCCACAATTTACCACAGTGACATATTACTTTCTGCTTTACTGAACAGCTGTGGGAGGCTAAAGATCAAGATAACTGAAGCTAAAATAGACCATCAAAATAACCTCTCAGTAGTTATCCTGCTACAGTCATTTTACAGGTCAGTCTCAACTACTCTGCAACAAGCAGTTAATGCTATCAGGATAAAGCTGACTGTGTGCATCTCCTCACTTTGAGCTTCTTTGTGTACCAGTGTTTTGCTGCTGCTGATTGGCAAAGGTAATGCTGACACCTACATAATAACTACTGGAGTTCAGTGAATAAATGTGAAGAACAGCAGGATTGGTACATGGTATAATAAGAATATGCTCTTACAAAAAAGGAAAATTGGCAGAGCAAAATGCAGTGTTATGAGTTTGATGACTCAGGCTGGAATATTACTCCATAGCATTAGCACTTGCATGTTGTACCTGTGATACTGTGGACAGAAGCAGCTGTGATTCTCAGATTTTTTTTTTAATGAAAGAGAAATTAATCTGTATTGATGAGTAAGGAAGCTTTTATGCAAACAGTATCTCCTGGAGGGAACTGGCTAGTATAAATCATAATACTTAGCAAACTAGCTTCCTGTCCAGTTTGGTTTCCAGATTCTGTTTATAATTTGTATTTTCAAAAGGTGATGGATCCCTAGTTTTAGATTAGGATCCCTTTATTCAAGGTGCTTTGCAAACTCAGAACTTCAAGATATCATCTGCCTTATAATACTTAAAGTTTTAAGCACATATTGAAGGGCAATGCTGACAGAGGCAGAAGTTGGGGACCACAGGGAAATTACAAGACAGTCTTTATGTAGTTGGAAATAATTTCAGTATGCCCCACACACTCAAGAATGTAATTGCTATTGAGCAGATGTCATTGAAGAGGTTTAACAAAGATATTGAATGAAAACGTCTTTCTGGATGTTTATGCAGTTTCCTGACTGAGGACATCCACTGAGGTAGATTCTTTTTAAACTTAACACATGGTCAAAAATAGCTGTCATCTTTAGTCCATCAGAGAGAAAAGATTTCTCAATGGTGAATTCAAGGGAGAAAAAGTTAGGAAGCCTTTGGAAGGCTTTCCTACATATTCATTATGAAATATATTTAGTAGTGAATATTCTTTGCTTAGTATTTTCTGTGAATAGGTTTTGATCTGACTGCATAATTCCTGTGCAAATGTATTTTTTTATCTTTCTTTCTAGTTATGACTAAATGCACTGTACAGTTTTATTTCCCTACCAATTAAATTTGAATCAGTTTTTATTCTGCTAGAGATTTTAGATTTTTTAAAATATCATTTTAATAAATTGGGGGTTTTGAAAAAAAATATTTAGAATTCCCTTGCCAATACACTCATTCTCAAGATTTGTGTAAGTACACTTATTCTTTAGATTTGTATGAAGAAACCCCTGCTACATCTAGAGGGAGAATGCTCATGTGAAAATCACCCAGCTCTAACAGGAAAACTTAAATTTCTGTAGCCAAAAGGATAAACATAGAAGACCTTCAGGTCATTTTAATTCAAAACTGAAAGTAAGCTGAGTGGAACTTCAGCAGTCTCACACTGAACCAAAGGGTTACAATGGACAGCAGGGTTACAAACTAGGCTGTAAGTAGTAAACCATCAAATATGAGTAGGTTATACTGGCAGGAGAACATAGCTGTAAATCCTGCAAGTCATTGGGATTCAGGGACTGGGTAATATCTGAAACACCCCTTTGACTGGACTCTGTTATCAGGAAAGCTGTTTGAAGCAGGTAAGTGAGGATATAATTACCTTTCTGCTGATATTTGCAATGTAACCAAATCTTATGTGGTTTTGTTACAGTGGTGAAGGGCTTGACCTTGTTCCTGTGAAACAATTTCCAATTAGAGACACCCAGAAATTGAAGCTATGTTAGCCTCAGGATTCGTGGTGCATCCATTTTTTAGCATTCCACTGTCATACTAAAGAACAGGTGAGCAGCTACTCACTCTGTGGATGCACAGCAGCAGAGAATCTGCCGCCGTGCTGTGCGTGCGAGCTGGGTGCTGGGGACTCTCTACAGTCATAAGATAACTGTGAGTATTAACTGCTTCTTTAGAGCAGGAATGGCAGTTAGAACCTGTCAGGAGACTGAAAGATGTGTGTGAAGATAAAATACAGCAGTAAAAGTGCAAGATGCAAATTTACCTAAGTTAAATGTTGCAGCATGAGATAGAGCATTGGTAAATGTGGCAAAAGCCAAAACCGTTCTGTACGGGATGAGCTGAAAAGATGCTGACTTTCTTCCTGTGACTTTGCAACATCCTGGGGAGTTCAGAGGGCAGGCTGGCCTGACTGCTAAGAGTCAGCCAAGACAGCACTTTTGTGTGGAGGATGTCTTCACCACAAGAGCAGCATGGTGCAGAGTGGAGCAGCAAGCACCCTGAGGGAGAGAGAGGAGTGCACAAAGAGACTCTTTAGAATTCCGTGCTGCGGGGGACCAAGAGCATACCTGTGCGTGTGTGTATACATAAGACTCTTAATCTTATTTTTCACAATCACAAACTAAAATTCTGTTTTTCTGCCCATAGCAGGTGTGAATGTGGAACAAAGTAAAGGACAAAGAAAATAATCAACCAATTAGCAACTTAGAAATGTCCAGGCGTGGAACTTATGTGATTTAGTCCAGTGTAATAGGCCTGTGAAGGATGATAAAACCCTACAGCTAGACAGCAGGTTAACAGATAGTACACTTCAGTAAATATATATTGCTTATAAACTGGCAACAATCTACCTTCAAGAGCTGATGAACCCCATTTATGAAGGCTTAACAATGTAAAACACTTTCCAGTCCACAGAAAAAAAGTCTTAGGAAGTGATGGCACTCTGTTTTTGAGTGGGAAAAACAGATCACTGGTCAGTATAACACCTATTTTAAGTGAGGAATTTCAGAGGATTATGCCTGTGTTGACTGGCTCTCTTCCTTGGTCAGTCACTGGAAACTGAAGTTCCTTTAAAAGTTGTTTGTAGCTGCTTGATATTCAGCTTTGATCCCTTCCACTCTAAAATGACATGCAAAAATGGAGAAAAGCAATACTTGCTTGCAAAAAGCACCTGGCAATAGTGGCTGTTTGATAGCTGCTAGAGTGAGAGTAAATCACCAACTGTATCAGTTTACATGAGCAATACATTAAGGAACTGCAATTAGCTTAGAAGTCTGTTTTCCAAGCACTGCGTCATAGTCCTTGGGAGCTTAGCTCAAAAGAAAGCTCTAACAATGTGTGTCAAACAATATTTCTAAATCTAAAGGAAAAATCCAGTTCTTCTGATGCTGCAATCAGACTAAGTACCCAGTCAGTCTTTTAAAATACTGAAATAAGAGGTAGTCAACAGAGGCTTATAAACATGTTTCTTTATTGTTACTGTAAAACCAGTTCATACTTTTGCTAGAAAGACATCAATCAAAAACAGTTGACAACTGCTACTATATAGAGGACAATTTATTTTTCTTATTTCCAAGGAATATTTTGTGAAGATGAGAATAAGTAACCTCAAAATGAGACACAATAAGATACATAAGCTAATTTGCATACAAAAAAGTGAACTTGGAAGTACATTGAAAAGAATATAAGTAAAATATCTAGACATACAAATGAAACGAAACTTCCGTTTTGGTAATAAAAATAAATATTACTACAACTAGCAAGCATTTTATCTTTTTTGTACATTATTGCACATTTATAGAAGATATATTTGTACTTGTTTTGTTTTGTGAAATATTTACTTTGTTTTTGGTTATTTTACAGTATCTTAATGCTTATACTCTTAAGAAAGAGAGGAATGCCATTTCGTCATGGAATCTTATAGAAAAATAATCATACCAGTGATCTGAAACACAGAATGAACATATTTAGTGGAAATCACAAAGTAATAGAGTGGTTTGGGTTGGAAGGGACCTTAAAAAATCAAGGTGCACCCCCCTGGCACTGGCAGGGTCACCTTTCACTAGACCAGGTTTCTCAGAGCTCCATCCAACCTGTTCTTGAACACTTCAATGGGTGGGGCATCCACAGCTTCTCTGTCAACCTACTCCAATGTCTCACCACCCTCAAAGAAAAGAATTTCCTCCTAATATTTTATCTAACCCTACTCTCTTTCATTCTGAATCCATTCCCCACTACCCTGTCACTTCATGCTCTTGTAAAAGTCCATTTCTGTCTTTCTCTTCAGGTGCTGGAAGGCCAAAATTCGGTCACCCCAAAGCCTTCTCTTTTCCAGGCTGAACAATCCCAACTCTCTCAGCCTTTCCTCACAGGAGAGGTGTTCCATCCCTCTAATCATCTTGATGGCCTCTTTTGGATCTGCTCCAGCAGGTCCATGTCCTGCTTGTGCAGGGGACCCCAGAGCTGATGCAGCACTGCAGGTGGAGTCTCACAAGAGCAGAGTAGAGGAGCAGAATCCCTTCCTTCCCCTGCTGGCCATGCTGCCCAGGAGACGTTTGGTTTTCTGGGATGCAAGTGCACTTTGCTGGGTCATGGCCAGCCTCTCATCCACCCCAAGTCCTTCTCAGCAGGGCTGCTCTCAATCTGTTCATGCCCCAGTCAGTGTTGATACCAGGGGTTGTCCCAGCCCAGGTGCAGCACCTTGAACTTGGTCTTGTTAAATCTCATGAGATTCCCATTGGCCTACTTGTCAACCTTGTCCAGATTCTTCTGGATGACACTCCATAATGGCATGAAATACTGGATATGAACCTAACAAGTGAATTAGTCATGCTAGTGCAGTCTCCTTCTTAGTGGATGACCTTCTAAATTTATCCCTTATTTCCATTTTCAGAACTAAGTCTTCCCTACCATTATTTTCTGCTATTTGAGGTATTCAGTGATGATCAGTAGGTCATCAGGTCATGTGTTATTAACATATGTATTAGAAAAAAGTGGCTGTTGGTGGAAGAGTGTTTTGTTTCAGTTCAGACAGAACACTCCTCTGTCTCCCAAATGTGTACATCATAGTGTCAAGTGCATCAAAGTAACAACTACAAGTGACTGACAGAACTAGGATCCCCAGGCAACAACAGCAAAGGGAAGACTGCTCACAGCTTCTTTTCCAGGAAAAACTATGGTGTGTGGTCAGTCATATATTCCCAAGGAATAACACATTTTCCCAAGGAAGAAAGCAAAACAGGGAGAAAAAAAGAATTATGGACTCATCAGCAAGCAGAGGTGTTTGAACAGACCTAGTGATCTATGCTGCCCCAAAATCTGAAGAAATCCTCCAAGTTTCTTTCTATAACCAGTCTTCCATAAAGAATCTCTTTCCTTTTCTGATGTTGTTGAATCATTCATGTTCCTGGGCACAACTCCTGTGGAAGATTCTGCCCCACTGTCAGATCAGACACTGAGTTGTAAATTACATTTTCCTTCTGAACATAAGTAGTATAAGGTTCCACTTCCATTGTGTCATCCTAGCAAAACAAAACCAAAAACTGTGAATACAAGGAGGAATTTAGCTTGGCAAATCTTTGCAAATCTTTCATCTGGACTGAAGAAAATTACTGGGAAATAGTGCTCGCATATTTACTCCTCTTCAACTATAAAAAAAAAAGATCCCTCTATTTCTTTTTCTACCAAGGAATGTGGATTGCTGTTTCTATCAAAGATTTGGATGGTAAAGCTGAGGTGTTGTTTCATTTGCCTCCTTTATCTTCCCTTCTACTCCACTTTCATTGGCCTGAAAAAAAATTTTATTAGGGTCTGACTCTCTAGAAAGAGCAAATAATATGCTAGAGTCTTGACCTTGATTCATTCCTAATCAGTCTGCATTTCAGTCTACAGACATGCCAGTGAAAGTCCCATGACATGACAGCAAGAGCACTGGTACTTAAACCATTATTTTACATTAATGCAACTGTGTCTGTCAGCAGTTGGGAGGGAGGGCAGCAGGAATACTAATAACTAGAACTGACTAAGTCTCTTTAGAAACTGAAGCATCTTTTTAAGTTGATAGCAGAATTTGAGTCTAGTGTATACTGTAGGTGCACAGATACGATATAATTGTAGCACATCTTGTCTATGTAGAGATGCTGTTATTTGGATTTGGCAGCAAAGAACAGAGACAGCTTACAGGTGAATTGCTCAGTTACACAGGAAGCTTCTAACAACATAGGATATCAAAAAATATCTCCCAGTTTGCAGCTCAGCTCTCCTTCCATGTTCTTGAGTATGATTGTTTCTTTAATTGTGGATTGACCATGCAAGATAAAGAGTGGCCTTCAAAATTCACACAATTATCATTCTGGACACCAAAAGGGATATTCTTTTTCTTTTGGTGTCTGTTAATCTTGTTGCTTAATCTTCTTGTTCACTAACAGTTTTCTTAATATCCCCCAACCCATGCTATTATCTGGAGAGTAGTTGTGGACAGGGTATGTGATATGACAAGGGAAATGTGGTGGTACTGACTCGTTGTTAAAATTAAAGGATGGCTTTAGCTGAGTGTTTGCTGTTGGAACACACCTCTAGTGTTTGTTCCAGGTCAAAGTTATGGTGAAGATAATAACTTCATTTTGTCCTATAAAGAGCTAAGAGTAAATATATCAGACACCCTAGTACTTGCTGAAATGGGTGTAAAAATCTAATGTTTTCCTTTCACTACTCATGTTTCCAGGGCCACCAGAATCACCATGATTTGGTGATGGTCTAATTTGCATAATTCTTCTTACCTGTTGGGAATGTATAGGAGCAATTTCAGGAGGTTTGGTTTTGTGGCATTGTCTGTGAAAAAGAAAAGTATTAAAATACGTTCAGCTGGATCACAGCTTGGTTTCTTTGATCAAAAGCTTATGAAACATTTCTTTTTCTTGTCTTCAAGAGTAAAACCTTCTCATGTCTCTCTCTCCTTGACATTTGATCCTGAAATTATAGCACCCTACCTTTCTAAAAAAGTTTTTTCTTCTGTTTGTAGGTGCTTATACATAAAATGGAAGCAGATTAGAACCAAAGCCCTCTGTAAGGATATACATTTTGCAGTTAGTGAAATGGTATTGAACTAATTCTTCACCTCTGAGGGAAAAGGTCTGAGAGAAAAACAGTTTGTAACAGGCAAATGAGGAACCTAGCTGACGTTTTCAGTACAGGTGCTAATTCATCATTCCACTCCACAAATTATTTCTGTTGGTATTCCTCAGAACTACTTTTTTTTTCCCCATAGGAAATCCTAAAGGGACCAGAGCCCAGCTTCACTCAAGGAATTTTTTAATACATACAGATAGAATCTGCTGTTCATTCTGCTCATATGGCAGGCTGGCATTGCTCAGTCCTCTGGCATTTAGTGGAACTTACTAGGCAGCAGAACCAGTGCCCTGAGAGATCCTGGCAGACTATGACAGTATCTGAAGAAGATTTACTCTCACAGATTCCTATCAGAAATAAGTGTTCCCCTTTAGGAGGCAGTGCAATCAGGGTCCTTGCCCAACTTCTTCCCATTTATATTTTACTCAGGGCATCATTCTGTGAAGATGTGTGCAATGCACAGTGCACAGTGTCTTCAGTACAGAAATATTTGATGTAGTTAATTTGGTTAATCACAGCAGCACAGACTGACAGAATCATATTATTTCAAGACACAAAGAGTACTTTAAAATTTCTTCTAGCACTAGACGACTTTTCCTTAGCACCTTAGTATAAGTACATACCTATCACCATGGAGCTTGAAATAGTAAATGACAGCCAGCAAGGTGATAATGATCAGAACACAAGTAATGATGCAGGCATACAGGAAAACGTTGGTGTCGATTTTCTCTAAACATAAAGAGACAGTCTCAGTTATATCTTCTTCTCAGTTTCTGTATTATTTCAGTAGAAGATTAAAGTTGCTCTAGAACATACATGCATTTTCAGCATGCTTGTAAAACAAATAGAATGTCCTTCAGCAGAAAGGAACATAGAAATGAAACTTTGCTGAGAAATACAAATGGAGTGTCTGTCAGAGGCAAAAGTAGATTCCACTAATGTCACAGTGGCCACTCATAATATATTTTCACTAAGCCAAACCTGAGTTCCTCTCAAGGACTCATCATTTCTCAGTAGTCATAAATATTCTCAAAAGCAACAAGAAAACCAAAAACCAGAACCCAAGGGTCATACGTTATCAGACATTCAAAATTTGGAATGAAGGAATGTATTTTTTTCTGCTAGCAACTCGAGACTTGGCTCACCGTCTCTCTTACCACGGTATTAAAATTTGCATCCAAAAAAAAAATCCTAATATTCTCACTCCAAGTGATTATTTGAATACAAAGATAATGAGTGCTTTCTCCCATTTCCATAAGCATTTCCACTACCAAAAGAATATTACCACATGTATATATATCCCTCTTAGGGAAGAAAGCATTAGGAAATAATGTCCAGAGCACAAAGAAGCCACTGATGTTTCTGGGCAAAGGCAGTCAGGGATGATACTCTTGTCTCTATAGGACTTCACTGAAGATTTCTGTATATTTTAGAGACTTTCCTTTCAAGAAGGAACAAGAGCTGAGAAAGCTGGACAGGGGTTTTAACACAGAAAGCACAAAGGGAAGCTCACCTGAGGGACAGCAGGATATGGACTGGCTCCAGTTCCCAGCTGGGTGGGACACCATGCAGGTGGTCACATTGGTGACATTGGTGCTACACGCTGTGAACTTGCTGAGAACAGTCACTGTCCCGTTGTTGTGGCACTTCTCCTCTGCAGTGGAGCTGCCCTCTGGGACCCAGGAGAGCTGAGCCGGTGGCTTCCCTGCCGCTGCCTCACACACAGGGCTGCCCTGCTCATCACAGGACAGGCTCAGCCTCGGGGGGGCTGCAAAGCACCAGCAAGGGGACATGCATGGAGTTAGTTTGGAACAGCTGGGATGGGCTGTTCTTGTCCTCTGCCCAAAATGAACCCAAACTGAACCCAGTGAAAAGAGGAGAATAAGGCTGGGGCTGTCATCCCATCCCATCCCATCCCATCCCGTTCCGTCCCGTCCCGTCCCGTCCCATCCCATCCCATCCCATCCCATCCCATCCCGTCCCGTCCCGTCCCGTCCCGTCCCGTCCCATCCCGTCCCATCCCATCCCATCCCATCCCACAACATGGGCCCAAAACACACGAGACAAAGAAGAGCTCTCTTTTTCCCTTTTGCCCAACTCTCGCGCATCCAGTTGAGCCTCATCACAGCCATTAATACCCTCTGTGTGTACATGGGAAATTGCTTCACACCTGTCACTTCTAACTAGACAGTGGAAAAAGGGAGCAGCAGAAGGGAGAAGAGTTATGGGAAATAAGGAGAAAGGAGACACAGAGATACTCCCAATGAAATGCATGAGTTTGTCCCAGCAAGAATCACAGAATCACAGAATGGCTTAGGTTGGAAGGAACTTTAAAGATGCTCTAAAGATGCTCTAGTTCCAACCACCTTGCCATGCAAAGGGACACCTTCCACAAGACTGGGTTGCTTCAAGTCTCCCTGGTCTTTAACACTGGGATGTCGACAGCTTCTCTGGACAATCAGTGTTCCAGTGGCACTATCCTCACAATACCAAATAGCTTCCTAATATCTAATCTAACCTTACCCTCATTAGTCTAATTTTTAAAAAGCTCCCTTTTGCACATTCCTTACCCAGCACGGTCAGGTGGTACCTTGTGTGGAAATTCCCTTCTGTTGTTGCCGCTTCACAGCTGTAATTTCCCTCCTGGGCTAGCCCCACTTGCCATATCCCAAGGGCAGGAGGCAGACCTGCTCTGAATATCCAGTTTATGTTGTCACTACAGGTTGTTCTGTGTGTCTCGTTCGTATCAACCCTGTATACCAAGGTGCACAGGCCTCCAGCCTTGGGGGTTATTGTCCATGTTAGCATAGTTATATTTCCTTTGAGAAAGCAGGTGAGAACTGAGCTGTTACCTACAGTCATCACTAACACTGAGGAGTTGTTTCCTGAGGAGAAAAAAAAGAGAATGTGTGAGAGGGAGCTCAGGAGTTGTGGTCTGGACTTCACAGGGAAATGTCTGCAGTGCTACAAACAAGCGTGAGGCCATGGCTGTGCTCATCTGCACGTTGTCTGTCATCTCTTCCTACAGCTGTGGATTATGGAGCCAATGGCCTGTCATGGCCAACCCCTGCAATACAAATTTCCCACTGAGGATCATCTTAGTGGATAAGACTGGATACTGGAGGAGGACCCTACTCCTGCCCATTGTCTTCAGCGGTTCCGCATCCAAAGGCTGTGCTTGTGTGAGCAAATCCTCCAGTGGGTTGCTCACAGGACCTAAAATACAGGAATATGACTGTTGCATCTGGCCACATGACAGTGGCTTTTCTCTCTAACCGTTGCTGCCAACAAAATAAACAACTTTTACTTCTGCGTTCATATGAAATCCCATACAGTGGGAATCTGAAAATGACTAAGCAAACCTGAGCACCCAAACTGCCCTGTGTTGGAACTGGGGTTTTTTTTGGATAATGTTTGCAAATGTTGAACAAGAATGATAGTGTTGTGCATATTGAACTGGGTAGACTTCCATTTACATATTAAAGCAGCAGAAATTTACTTGTCTTTCAACTCAGTATCTCCTAAGCAGCTCATTGCAATGTTAAAAACCCAACACAATGGGTATTCAAGCTTCAAGGCTGTAAACTAAGAGGCAGTGAAAGTGATGCTGTTTGCTATGCCTTTCTGTTATATTCTCCTCTGAATGAACCAGGCACCATTCACTTTACTTCACTCCAAGAAACCACATCAGAAAGCTTAAAATCTGCTGAATCAAGTTTAAATACAATTTTAGGTTTATAGAAAATTTGTAGAAATTGTATGAAATTCCCTGTATCTTGTTATTGATTCAGATGACTTTAAGTATGACAAGAATTTTCCCCAGATGACACATTAATTAGTACAAAATCATCTTGCTTATCCTAGCCACACAGCTTCATACTTTTTCAAAGAGGTCTTATAATATAAAAGGTTAAACTGTCTTCACTTTATTGCCCTCTTTTATTGTGAGAGTGCAGGTAAGCAGCATTAGTGTAAATATTAATTGTGAATTTTCTTCCTTGATTTGCTCTTTTTTGGGTACATGCTGCTAGAAACATGATCTTTTGCTTTCCTTTACAAAAGAATGTGTCTGCCAAAAATCCTTAAAGGTTTGGTTAATTTGTGTTTCTGAAGCGACTTTGAAGTGACTCACAAGCAAAATAGGACTGGACCTGGGTAATACTTGATGGGGAGCTTCCAAACCATGAAGAATAATGTCATCTATTTTCATGGAAGTTTCTGATGAACTTTCTATTTCAAACTAAAATATTATCCCAGGAAAGGTCAAAACTTACTAGCTCTTACCACAGAATTAGCTTTATTCAGAAGCAATCCAAAATGTATATTCCCAGAAGTTAATGTGTAAATAGCTACGGGATCCCCAAATACAAAGGCAGTTCCTTAAATAGAAGTTATCCCCATCCCTATCCCATCCTTCCTGGTCAGCCTTAGCATTTCCTCCACTTTGAAGTTGTTGGTAAGACCTCTCATTGGATTGAAGTTGGACATATTCTGCTTTCTCTTTCTAATCAGCATACCAAAAACCATTAAGTATCTAAAAGTATATTTTATTAGAATATAAATCAATACATCATAAAGTGACAGGTCTGCAGGGGACACAGAATTGCTGGCTTTACTTATGAAAGTAAAGACACGAAAATAAATCTCCTTTGGTCCCTCTGCCCCTAAAGAACAGGTTCTTTCCCTCAGTCCTCTTTTCTACTCCACACCCTTTTGCTGACTTGTCAGGTTGCACATTTTTACATGATCACACCTGAACTCCTTTTCCCTCACTTCCATTATTTCTTGTGGGCCTGCTACAATCAAGTCCTTTGCCAAGGTCTCCTGATCTGCTTTCTTTGTCCTCCTTATGCTGCCTGCCCAGCCTGTGTTCTTGGATATGTACTCAGGAGCTCTGAGGGAAGCTGCAATCTCCCCTTTCCTCTGGGAATTTCACTAAACCTAGAGGGCGTATGTCTACTCTACAGGAGAACTAAACAAGCAGAAGTGTTTCTTGTAGTTTAATCCCAGCTGGCAACAAAGCCCCACACAGCCACAAGCTCTCTCTCGTAAACTCCCCCTACAGTGGGATGGGGAGAGAATCAGAAAGGTGAGAAAACTCAAGAGGTTAATAGGTAAAGCAAAAGCTATGCACACAAGAAGAAAAAAACATCTCAAAGGCAGGTAGGTGTTCAGCCATTTACAGGAAAGCAGGACTGTATCATGCATAATGGTGACTTGGGAAGACAAACATCATAGATCCAAGTATCCCTTCTTTGTTCTTCCCCCAGTTTTATGTGCTGAGCATGATGCCACATGGTCTGGAATATCCCTATGGCCAGTTGGGGTCAGCTGTCCTGGCTGTGTTCCTTTCCAGCTCTTTTGGACCACAGTCCACTCAGTGGTGGTGTGAGAATCAGAAAAGGCCTTGGCTCTGTGTAAGCACTGCTCAAAACATCTCTGTAATGTCAACACAGTTTCCAGCACAAATCCAGCTCCATAGAAACCACTAGGAAGAAAATGAGTTCTCTCCCTGCTAAAAACCAGCACAGTATTCCATTTCTGTTAAAGAGAAAATGTTCAGTGCTGCAAGTATTTTAATTCAGACCTCTCACCACACCATTGTCTTCTGGAATGGTCTTTTCATGCTGCAAAGTGGCTAAAAGTCATTTGCTGCTGTTTCCTCTGTGATAATCAATTGGTTTGTGACCAGTGTGTTAAGGCAGATTTATGGCATCCACATCAGCATTTTTCTTCTCGGAGGCTCTGACCAGCATTTTGCACAGCTACAGCTCTTGAGGTGAAATCTCATCTTACATCTGAACTGAACTGACATCTGGCTGTGGCTGAAAAAGGGAATAATTAGTGCAACAAGGCCTCAACTTCTGTGGGCCTGCAGAGAACAAGAGATTTGAAGGTGTGAGCTATCAAGCTCATCTTGGTGCATTAAATGGGATGGTAATTAAATGTCAGCACTGTTATTTCATTGTACACAAGAGATAAGAAATAAAGGGTTGCCTATTTATTTTAAATAACATCTCATTTTCAGTTATGTTCTTCACAATTGAGTTGACTCTGGAAAACAGCAATCATTTTTTCTGTTAGCCAGAAAGAGCAGAGCTCAGGAAACCAGAAGTACATGCTGTCTGTCACGCTGATGTGGAAAACAGAGGAGTCGGGTTCTGGGAGTTCTGTACAGCACCAGACTGAACCATTTCATTTTGGTTGTGAATGCAAGTCCATTGTGATCAGATTTCACCTTGAAGACTCATCTGGTCGTAGCAGGCCTTTAGACTGAGGTTCTCCAGTTTGACTGCAGCCTCTGAGATCTAATTATGTCATCTCTCATTGTCTCTCCTTGACTGTTGCAGAATACTTCAAGCCATGTCTGAGAAGGTTCTCAAGCTCTATTGCAGTGCACTAAGTGCACATTCCAACGCACTGACAGATTCCACTTTTATGGAAAAACAAACTCGGTTGAGCAGTTCACATTTGTCTGTCAAAAATGTGCTGGTTATTGTTGTCATTGTAAGGTTACTGCAATTTGAAAAGACTGGGGGAAAAAATTTGCTCGGTTTTTTTCTGTTTGGTCTATGCAGTGTTTGAAAGCTGTCATGAATAAGAGTCACACCAGCTTCTTTTCAGTATCACTTATTTTGTCATTTCTCCTATTTCTCAGAGACTTCCTCACACTGAAAGAACAAAGATTTTAAAAACAGGAACATTTGATTGTAAAGCCACTAAACTTTTGAGGGGAATCACTGCAAAATCAGAGACAGTTATGCAGGTTGAAAGTGCTGCTTTCAAACATGAAAGATTTCCAGCCTCTGTTATTCTTCATAGCAGGTTTTAAACCACAGTAGAAATTTTTATTGCCTCAATTTCCATGACAGTCTCTTGCAAAATTTAACTATTAAAGAGTTTTTTGCACTATAAAGAGACTACTTTACTTTCTCAGACATATTTCTCAGACATTCTCTTGATTCTTTATTTCTTACAGTAATAATTTACCAGAGCATTTTGATGCATCATCCCCCTACACCCTCTGTAGGTATTAAACTTAGAGATATAATGAACTGAAACAATGATCATACCACAGCCAATGACTAACTGTATCTTGGAATGAATGTAGTATATGAGTCACAGCAAGTCATAAGCAAAAAGGCAACAGTGGATGCTTGGAAGAGTTCAGATACAAGTCTGGTTCTGCATCTGTTTTCCCCTTCTACTGCCACAGAGTTCCTGTGACACCCAGCAAGGCTTGTCTGGAATGAAATGAAAGAGAAGTGCTTTGTACTAGGGTAGGAATTGCTGATGTACTGACAGATTCTTATATAGTGTAGATTTGTGACTTTGAAAACATAGTCACAGCAGCACAGGATGAAGTGTGGGCTAAAAACCTTTCCTGTGTTTCGGGTGAGAAGCGAGTAGTTAGACTACATTAAATTTCATTATAGAAACACATCAAATAGCTGACCTAAGTTCATAAGCCTCTGTTTCTTGAAACCTAGATCACAGCTTTTTGAGCACAGATGTATCTTTAAAAGGACACATTAAAAGACTTATACCTTTATTGCTAGTTTCACGCTCATACTCTTTTACCCATAGTTTTCATTATTCCTTGAAAAGATGTCTTATTTTCATTTCATTCTAGTTAGGAATTTCCTTTATCATCAAAATTCCTTTTTTCCTTATACTCAAAATTGTTATTTTGTTCTTCTTTTAACACATTTATTTTCTGTCGCCACTACCATGCCACTTGCAGTACTTTTCTTGCCACCAAGAAAAGTATTAAGTATTATCACTTTTTCTTGCTGCTTCATGCAAACTGAGATAGTAATCTCACGCTCTTTGTCATTGGTTTTGCAATATGAAGTGCTCATAGAATGGCTGGATTTTTTAAGATTGCAAACTTCAACATGACTCATTATATGTTGCAGAGGGCTGAGGACACTGATAGCAGTCAATAGTGATCCCAAGGTTTCAGTCTTCCCTCTCAAGGTGGAATATACCTTTGCAGTTGCCAGCTCCTAGTGTGTAATTTTTCTATGATCTTTCAATTCTCTTAAGCATTCTCCAGTATCTTTTCAAGCAGTCTTTCAAGACAGCTGATTTTGAAGGCAATGAAAAGATGCTAAAGCTCACTTAGGTAGAGATGTGTTTGATACAGTGTCCCCTTGAAAAAAATTAAGCTGAAAGAATAAAGGGAAAACTACAGGGACTACAACTGTTCAAGGGATGAATAAAGAACTGGGTTAAGGAGAGAAAGAAAAGGCAATTAAATGGTGGTGCCAGTTTTAAGGTAGCTTGCTGATAATGTTTCTCAGCAGCTGATTTTTGCCGTAATTCCATTTAAGTTTTTACTAATGGCATTGGCTGTATCAGCAGTGTGTGAGGAAATTTGTTGAAAGCAGGAAGAACACAGTGTTATTAGTATAAAGAATTGATCTGTCACACAAGAAAAATCAGTTGACCTTGATGAGTAGAATGTTAGATGTGTGCTGAAATTCAGTAGCTAAAAATGTCATCATAATAAAAAATAGGTAGTCCAACAAATTTTGACTGGAAAGTCAAATACAGAACCATGTCTTAATCAGTATTTAAATCAGCTTTTCAATAAAATGGATACTTGTTTTGGTGCTCAAATTGTTTGTGAAAAGTGTTTTCTAATAAAATGCCTGCAATTTGATCCAGCAATTCATTGATTTATCCCCTTGTAAACCAGTTATGTCTCAATATAGTATGACTGTAGGGGAAAAAAAAAAAAAGGATGGGTACACTTCTTAAATGAAGAGAACAAACACTGTTGGCCAAATCCTCAGCTGATACTAAATCATCACTGAGCTTAATAAGCTGTCACACAGTATATCAGTCTGGCTGTAAACTTTGAACTTTGCTACTTCTGAACTGTGCAAAGTAAGTAAATAAATCTTCCTTCTTGCAGAATGTGAGCTGGAATGGAAGAGGGCAAAAGGGATTTGCACTGGATGTGAAAGTGCCTTGGATAGTATTGCTTTCAGAGTAGCACTGTGACATCACAAGTGACAAAGTGCTTCCAGTTCTCAGTGTAGAAACAGATACAGATTGTTTTATATTTTGTTCTATGTGCTGAACTTGGCCTTTTACTCTCGGCCACGTGAGAAGAAAAATAAAACAAATACTCTTCACTTATGCTTAAGCAGCGTTTTCCTACTATTCTAAACAAAAATAGATCATTGTCTGCAAACTGTAGGTTGTGTGCCTTCTTTTTCATACTTTGCAGAGAGCAGATAACAAACTGCTATGAAAACATCCTTCTGACCTCACTTTTAATGGTCAAAATCATAGTCATACCTTGCTTACCCTTAGCATTGCAGTTTTCATCACAGTATTGTCTTATTCAACACCAAGATAAGGCAGCATAAGAAAATTCTCTATGCTTTTTTTCTTAAGAATGATTGCACCTCATTATACAAAATACATCCACTGTGAGTTTTAAGTAGCACCTACCTCAAAAAGTGCACTCACAGTTAAAGAAAATCTGCTTGCTTTGTAAGTCATGAAGTATGCGGTCAGTTTGGAAGACTGACCCTCCTTCTTTCCACGGTTTTGAAAGCAGACAAGTTCAGGCACAAACGCACTCTGTGTTTGGACCACAGCAAAATAAAATGTTGGTTTCATAAGGATGTGTTTGGAAGATTGGACTATGGCAGTTTAGATGTGTTCTATGAAAATTTTTGCTTTATTTAAAGGTACAGAATTATTTTAAAGAATTTGGATCAGAAAAACAGGCTGCTTGGGTTCAGATGCTTTTAGGGTAAAAGAAGTCAGAATAATTCCAGCACACCGTCCCAAAGGAGCAGCAAAGAAATAGTGAAATGGAGACAAATGAAAGTTTACCATAATAGATTTTTTGGCTATCATTTTTTGTATCTGGAGCAAGATTCCACTATAAACTAGAATAGAAATCTACAGAGACAGATGCAGTGAAACATATTAGGGCAGAGATAGTCAAAAGGCAACAAAACATTGGCACTAGTGAAAAAGAATGTACTGGTTTTATTAAGGAAAGAAACTAAATGAAAGCAGTAGCATTCAAGGAAGTTATATATGCAGGCAAACTTGAACTGTAGCTCTGTAAATTAACTTTACTTCATTCACCTCATAGTCTATTATTCCAGCACAATGTCACCGACTTCAGTTTTTCACTATTGATAAAATTGAACAACCATAGGGAATCGCATCTCATTACTGATAATGGATTTCTTGCAGCTTCCTGTGAAGCACTTGCACATATCCATTGTCACAGGATAAACTACAGAGGCAGTATGTACCCAGTCAAATGCTGTAAATGTTATTTCAATAAAAAGAGATTTATTGCATGGACTTTTCATGGAAGACCTTGCCTGTCCTTACCATTCTCCCTTGGAGTATACACAACCACTTGAGGTGTCGTGTGCTTAGCTAAACTAGAGAAACCTTCAGAGCATTATCAAAAATATTTTAATTCTGAGTCTTTTTCACTGCTGCTACTGAGGATTGTCACAAAAGGATTTTTAGTAGAGATCATGCCCCAACAACTTCAGTAGCTTATTATCCAACTCTTCCTGAGGGCAGATCTAGGTATGACAATTAGGAAGCAACCTCAGCCTTTTTTCTGAGCTGCTCCATCTGCTGTGGTAAAAACTAACCCAGTCACACAAAACAACACGCTGAGGAAATGTTAAGGAAAATGTTAATGGAGATAAAGTCTGGTTACATACAACAAATTTTCCATGACTTCATTTCTTTCAGAGTAGCTTGCTCTAGTCTTCAGAAGGGGGGGACATAGTTCCTTCTGAGCTTCATGCAACACTGAAGACTAAAATTATCTGGACAGAATATGCACATTAGATCAGCTTGACACATTTAGCCTGTGCTCTCTGAAGGAAAAAACCCTTGCTGCTAGATCTTGCTCAGAAGAGCCATCCTCATACTGAAGGAAACAAGTTTAGGAGCAGTGCTTGATAAAAACTTCCCATCAAATGTAGGCTGCTTTTTATTGGGAGCAGGTTGAGGAAAGAGGTTTCAGGTGTGAAATTAGATTTCAATAGAACACCTTTTTCTATAATCTTTGAAGGGCAATATAATTGGTTAACTAAGACACCAATAAGTTAAAACCTAAACACCTTAGGGTGACAACTCTCCACTTTTTGGCATTGGACTTTTTAAAAATATTTCCAGCAAATTGAATTTTTTAAAATCATTTTTGACAGTGTGATTTCTCTTTGTGTCCCCACTTTTTCTTTAATATTCTGTGGTGTATTCATGCTCCTTTACTTTTTGAGTGACTGTCTTCAAAAATGTAGATTGTCTTTGATGATACCATAATTGATCTGCATGAACTTGAGCAGCTTCCTCAGTATTCTTTTGACATAGTTCTTACCTAGAGAATAGGGACAGATCTTTTACCACCAGTGTGCCTGTTGTGAGGTTAATGATCCAAATAATGTTAATAATGTTCAAGAAGTATTTAAATTTTTCAAGTGGGCAGCACTGGGGTAACCATTTAGAACCTCTCCTCATCACACCAGACATTATAGATGGGTGTTCCATCACTACCAAAAATGACTGCATCTGTTTTGCTTTAAAATACCACAAAGGAGATATTTTTATTTTCTGACCAATAGGAATGAAGTAACTCATGTCCATGTAGTTTAGTTCTATCTGTCCATAATAGGAATGGACACATGCATGTTACATATTATTCAGAGATGTCCAAAGTTTAATTTGGATCTCATGGGCCTATCTGCCTTCCTCCTCCTATACAGAAACAGTTTAAGTTTCTGGAACTGCTCCTCAAATCCTTAGCTCCATTATCAAATCCCTGGATTGCTTTATAGTGTCTGGAAAAACATAAGCTCTGAAAATGCAAATGAGCAGTATGTGGGAAACATTAACTGCTGTAGCTAAACTGTATTAAAATGAAGTCAACTACACTAAAAGACAGAAAATTTGGACTGCCATTGCCCTTGGTACAAAAGCCTTTCCCATCTTCATACTGGCCATGCACCATAGAATGAAATTCCAGAAGCTGCGCCCCTCTATCAGCACATCAGAGACCTTCCACTTCTCCTCTGAAAGGTCTGAGAGATCCCTGCCCTATTTCAAAGTGCCTGCAGCCTCTCTTCAGCAGAAACTACATGTCCAAAAGCTTCAAGTTCCCAAACACTGTCCCAGGCATATTTTTAGGGTGTCAAAAGATTCATTTTCTCAGATGATGTGATTTGGAGGTCTTAGTAAAAAGGCCATTTGTGACAAATTGTATGTTCCCAGCTAAGGGTCATTACGCAGTTGCCTACACAGAAGTCACAGGGAAAATACCTGGCAGCCTTGTGACCACTAAGAAAAGATGAGCAGGAGTGGGTATTGGGAAAGCATATCTTAACTGTGCATTATAATTTTTAGCACTTAATTAAAGCCATAGAACTATTTATAGCTTTTATAAAGAAAGGAGCTGTGCACATTTCCCATTCTTACATCCCAATGGCCAATTGGTCCAGTTAGACTCACCTGCTAATCTCATGACCATGGTGACGGTGAGCAGCACAAAAACATACACGGTCTTCCCAGCAATCTTCATGTTGGTTCCTGTTTTCATGGCTCAGGCAGCTTCCTCACTCCATCCATCCCTCCACCAACTTAACTGTGGTCATGGGGAGTATTTCTTGCCTGCCAATACATCCTCAGCATCCAGTGTCAGTGTTTCCTCTCCCCCTTTCCCATGCCTCTCCTTTAGCTGTGCATGCTCTGGGCTGACTGGCTCCTCAAAGCTGGAGAGGTTCCTCCTTCTGACTTTTCAGAGCTTCCTGTGCTGAGAACCCAGGCAAACACTGAGGAAGCAGGCTGAGCAATTCTGCCGTCCGTTCATTGGCTCTCCTAAGGAGGCCAATGAGTGAAGATAAACCTGCAGCAGAGTTCAGAGAGTAAAACCAGAGGAGATTATTCAATGCTGAGTTTAATATCAAAAAGGAAATCTTAGTCTTGGGAAACTAGAGAGAGACTTCATGTTTCTCACTGCTTTTACTTCTGCTAGTTGTTTATCACATCTTTGTCACAACCTCCATGAAAATTCTTCCACATGTCTTCCTCAAAAAAAAAAAAAAAGCAGTCTTAAATCTTCTCTGTAGTGACATTTTCAATTATTTCTCTCTTAAGTACCTACTTAGCACATGGAATTCTACACTTCCCATATATATACACAGCCTCATGTGAACTTTTAAGTTCAGACCTTGTGAACTCTTAATTAAGTTGTAGGTGTACTCTTACTGCATCTCCACCCTTGCCAGCTAAAATATTACAAATACAAAACTCATTTTTTGCAGAATCTGAAAAAAATTGTGAATATGGGATAGTTTTCAGGAAAATTGCAGAATGTCTCATTCTGGAGGTTTGAAACAAGGAAGCAGTAAATATTTCCAAAATGAAACACTGATACTTCACATTTAAATGATGCTTTTGTTTAGAAACTGATCTAATTTGAAGGGGCAGAAATTTGTACAAAAGCTGAAATATTGAGCAATTATGGGGTTTTTTGGCACAGCTGAAATTACATTTTTCTCTGGAAAACAGAAACAAAAACCAATTCATTATTATGTGCCCTTAATCAAGTGCAGGCTTCCCATGGGGTGACAGCCTCCTCTGAGACATCCACCTGCTCCAGTGTGGGGCTGCTCCATGGGCTGCAAGTAGATCTCTGCACCAGGGACTGCAGGGGGATTGCTGCTCCAGCACCTAGAACATCTCCTGCCCTTCGTTTTCTGACCTCAGTGTCTGCAGGGCTGTTTCGTTCACACATTCTCACTCCTTTTGCCAGGTGAAGTTGCTTGGCCATTACCCCTCACTGATTAAATGTGTTATCCCAGAGGACGGGCTATCCATTGAGCAGCAGTGGAGAAGTTTGTATACTGAAATTTCACCAGGCGACATCTGGTGGAATTTGATGGGTACTAGAAGCTGTAAAGAAATGCAGCACTCTTTGTGCACAGAGACTTGTTTTCAAAGTTAAATAAGGTTCCTTCCTTTTACATTTTTTTTCACCAAGTGCTATAACTTTTGTGCCAGCAAAAGTGGAGATGCTTCATGGAGAAGAGAGGAGCCAGCCCGTGAGGGTGGTGAGAGTAAAAAGATGGGATGCATAAAGCAGCATAAATGTTGGTACCATGGGGAAGATGCTGAGCAGTGTGGGAACACAAATAGGACAGACGGGAGTTTTGTGTAGATGAGAATGATTTAGGTAAAGCACATGTGAGTATTATGTTAGTCCTGCATGGTTTGAATTAAGAGCTGCAAAATCCTGTGGCTCACTCTGCTACTGAAAACAGTAATTCTACTGAAAATTTCCACAGAAAAATAATGTCTTTGAATAAGAAACTGGGGTGCCCTTTGAGGAAAAGCTACCTCAAGAATATGAGGTTAAATCAGTATTTTAAAGAGAAGTGATGAATTTAATTTAGCTTTGTCTTAAACTGCTTTTCTCTTTTCCTTGTTCATGAATTAAAAAATGGAAAAAACAATTATTGTGGATAAGAACAGGTAATACTTAATCTTGCAATCAGAATGAAGAAGAGACTTGCCCTTGTTCAGAGGGGAAGGGTGAAGATGTTTCAGAACGAAAAGTCTGTGTTAAATACTTGTCACCAGAAATTGAATGTCGCCCACCACTTTCACTGAAAAATATGTTTGGGGGTTGGTTTTTTTTCAGAATACTCTTGTGTGGGTTATTTTAAAATAATATTGTATCAGTTTCTCCACTTCCTCAACTGATAAAATAATTTTAAACTCCAGGGTCCCTCTCCTTTCCTAAGCCACAGCATTTCCCCAGCACAATTCTGTGGTCAGTGGTAGAGAAAAGGCCTTGGCTATTAAAGCTCCAAGTCAGAATAATTAGCAGTGAGGATAGAGACATAAGAGGAAAAGACAGAAAACAGATTAAAGTTGACAGGAAATTAACTGCTCAGGCACTTGAACTGCACACTGTGTTTAAACTGTTCTGATGACTGCAGTCTGGTGTTCTGGTTTTGTTCGATCAGACAGGTGTTCCAAAATGGTCTGCATTGATGTTCACTGGAACAGAGGAGTGTGAATTAAAGTCTTATTTAAAGAAGTAAAAGAAAGACTAATAATGATCATATAAGGAAAATAATGCAAAACACAAATTCAGATGGATGATCTCTGTCTCAGGAACATCTCATTGACTACTGCTTTTTGTGGGAGGGTGTTCTGTATATTTTTATCCACTTGATTTTTAACATTCAGTATAGGATTTTGACACTCCTCTTGACTGTTCTGAGGTTTTCAGTGTGCTATTCACAGTAACACTGCTTTATTATCTCAGTATTTACCATTGACCGTGGAATTAGTAATGCATGTGAAGAGATACTATAGCTTTTTTTTAGAGAAGGGCATGGAGAAAAAGAAGATATGTTTATGTAAGTAAAGATAAGAAGACTGGAGAGATAAATAGGCAAAATGTAAGCAGTGTCAGGCCTCAAATGTAAAGGAAGTGGTGCTCAAATCTGATGCAAAGACAAGAGGATATTAAGACATAGAAAATGTGCAAACTTGCAGTGTACTGGATATAAGATTGCTGTATAAGCCAAAAAAATAAGAGATGCAACAGGATAGAGGAGATTCTGGAAGAGAGCAAACTCTCTTCTAAATAAGAAAAGTCCAACTTTAAGTTGTCATAATAGAAGATCTTTACTATAGAAATTCATTCAGAACCAGAAATTAGACAGCTATATACTTTAGGTAGGGAAGAATAATTTAAGGTGTCATTAGGATACTTTGGAAGCAACTTTCTGGTTGAGGGCAGCAGAATTTGGGAAGTGAGATATGAGAAGTCTGTAGAAGGGCATGACAGAAAACAGAAGTTTACCACAAGGATTGATGAGTAATCATAGCAGACTTTTCTTCAAGTTATATATTGAGAGCCAGGATCCCATGAAATAGAATTCATAGGAACCTAGATTAGTTTGGGTTGGAAGGGGCCTTAAAGATCATATATTTCCAACCCTCCTGTCATAGGCAGGGACATCTTTCCCTAGATCAAGTTGCTCAAAATCCCAAACAGCCAGGCCATGACACTTCAAGGGATGGGGCATCCACAGCTTCCCTGGGCAACCTGTTCCAGTGTCTCACTACCCTCATAGAATAGAATCTCTTCCTCATATCTAACCTAAACCTACCCTCATTCAGTTTAAAGCCATTCCCCCTTGTCCTGATACTACATGCCCCTGTAAGGTGCCTCTCCAGCTCTCTAGCAGGTTGCCATTAGGAAGGCTGCTCTAAAGTCTCCCTGGAGCCTTCTCTTCTCCAGGCTGAACAATGCCAACTCTCCTCAGTCTGCCTTTATAGTCCAGGTGTTCCAGCCCTCTGATCATCTTGGTGGCCCTTCTCTGGGTTCTCTCCATCAGGTTCACATCCTTCTTATGTAGTGGGTCCCAGATCTAGGTGCAGGACTCCAGGTGGGGTCTCACCATAGCAGGGCAGAGGGGAGAATCACCTTGCTTGCCCTGCTGGCTACACTGCTTTGGATGCAGCCCAGAAAGCCAAGCACATCCTGGCGGTGTGCAAAAGGATGTGTTTGACTTTCTGGGCTGCAAGAGGATGTTGTTTCTCATCCCCAACACCCCCAAGTCTTTCTCCTCAGACCTGCTATTGATTTATTCTCCACCCAGCCTGTGTTTGTGCTTGGGATTGCCCTGATCCAGGTGCAGGACCTTGTGCTTGGCCTTGTTGAACTTCATGAGGTCTGTGCAGGCCCAGTCCTCAGGCCTGTCCAGGTCCCTCTGGATGGCATCCCTTCCCTCCAGCATGTTGACTGCACCTCACAGCTTGGTGTTGTGGGCAAACTCACTGAGGGTGAGCTCAGTCCCACTGCCCATGTAGCCAACAAAAGTGTTAAACTGCCCCTGTCCCAGCCCCAGCCCCTGAGGAATGGCACTCATTGCTGATCTCCACTGGGATATTGAGCCAGGGACTGCACTGAGTGTGACCATCCAGCCAAACCCTTCCCCACTGTGGTGTGGGCTGGGCCTCTCCACTTCAGAGATGGGGATGTTGTGTGGGACAGTGTCATGTGCTTTGCTTGTACAAGGCCAGGTAGATTACATCAGTTATTTTTCCCTCATCCACCAATGCCCTCACCCATCATGGAAGGCCCTCAAATCTGCCAGTGAAGCTGTTGCAAATCACTTCCTTACTTTCCATGTGCCTTGGTATAATTTCCAGGCAGACCTGCTCCATGATCTTGTCAGGCACAGAGAATGAGACTGAGCCTGTAGTGTCCCTGAGACTTCATTATTTTCCTTGTTAAAAGATGGGAGGGAGTATGTTTCTGTTTTTCCAGTCAGTGGGGGTTTACCAGATTGCCACATCTGATCTGAGAAAGGAGAGAGTGAGACAGAGGATGACCTAGACAAAGAAATAATGCATGTAGAGGAATTAAAGTTGTCAAGATTTGCTGGCTGCATTAATTAGAAACATAGTGTGCATTTAATGTAAAGGAAGAAAAGTGGAGAGGCTTGGATAGCTGAAGCCTAAGACACAGTTGAGGATGAAGACATTGCCAACAAGTGCAACTAAAGATATGCTTTGAGTAAGTGCCCATTTCACACAGCAGAAGAGAAACTGGAGCGTCATTTGTTTAAGGTGCTATGAAGAATCTTCACAGTCTACCTGGAGACTGAACTTTCCCTGTCTTCTGAGTTCTAAGAGCACAGATCTAGGCTCTGCCTGTGGTTTTCAGTGTGGGTTATTGCAGTGCC